CTTATTCAGCTCCAACATCTGCTGAGAGCCATATTAAAATGTAATACTCACTAAAATGAGGACCCACACAAATTTTATAGTAAATATGAGAAAGGCCCCTAAATTCTGAATTTTGATTACATTACCCCCCTTTAAATGGCATCATCTATGATAACGGATCATACTGAGAGACTGGATGACAACTGGTCCCAAAATGTTGCTGTTCTATGAATTTGCACAAACTACATAAGTTCAGTATTGTTCACTATTCATAATCAGTGATTGGACATTGACAGTATTTTTTTTTATTCAACCGCTGCTTGTGTTAATAGTTTTGCACATGCTAAAACTTCTACACATTCAAATAACTTTCGCCTGTTGATATAAGCACATACCTTTGGGAAAGACTCCTGCTTAAAAAAAACAGTACAAAAATAAAGCTATGTGCTGACTAACATTCTACTCAGTTTTTGTAACTCTATAAGCTATGCTCCATCATCTAAACCGCTTATCCTTCTGGGTCGCGGTGGGGTGCTGGAGCCTATCCCAGCTGTCATCGGGCGGAAGGCAGGATACACCCTGGACAGGTCGCCAGTCCATCGCAGGGCAGACAAACAGACATATACATCCACACACACACTCACACCTAGGGGCCATTCAGCATGTCCAATCGGCCTGACTGCATGTCTTTGGACTGTGGGAGGAAACCGGAGTACCCAGAGGAAACCCACGCAGACACGGGGAGAACAGGCAAACTCCACACAGAAACGACCCTGGTCACCAGGCGGGAATCGAACCCAGGCCATTCTTGCTGTGAGGCGACAGCGCTACCCACTGCACCACCGTGCCTCAATATAAAAAATTCTGTCTTTGAAAAGTTTGATCTATGCAGAACAGTGCGTTGACCTGCATTTATTTTCCTCCACTCATGAAAGGCATGGCTTGTTAGAGCTAAAAGTTTAACCCTTAGAAACCTAAAATATTTTTGGGTTTTTTTGGGTCAATTACAATTGCAATTATAAAGTATTTACATGTGACAGTCACACAGGCCACATGTTGTTATTTTCATGAGACCCTGGTCTTTATGAATTTGGGCAATTTCTGACAAAAAATGTACCTAGCGCCTGCAAAAATTTGTATTTTTCTAATTATAAAGATCTTGAAAACAAGTGGAATTGTAGTTATCTTTTCAGAAATTGTTAGTCTGGAGTTTCTGTGAGCTGAAAGTGCAATGATTTTGATGGTAATTAATTCTATTGGTTATTATGAGTAAAAATAAACAATTAGCATAAGGCAGACATGCTTTTTTCATTAACTCTCTGTCCTCTTGCATTCATGCTCAGTGCTAAAACTCTGATACACAACAAGAAAGGCTTTATTTTTAATTGAGTTGCATATTTAATATCAGATTTTTTCTTTTTTTTACTCAAAATCAATGTAAACAGAAAGCCCTTTGTTTATAATATGAAGGCTAAAAGCAGAGATGTAATGTAACAGTAGCGAGTGGGTTTGGGTGATTTTGGAGCTGGATTGCTCGCTGATGGACGGTCACAAGTGGATGAAATCACTCTGGATGGTGAGGTCAGAGTCTGATGAGTGATCTGATGTGTGAATCATGTCGCTGTTTTAACCCTTTGTTGGAATATGAAGGATAAACAGCAGAGCAATAATATCAGGATTTTAGGTGATTTTCTGAGCCGAATTATTCACTGATGCTGACGTCACAACTCAATGATGTGACACTATGTAGTTAGGGTCTGCTGAATGTCCTGATATGGGTATCATGTTTGAAATAGATAGAAAGTAGGCAGTAACCTCCCAGAACTGAAGTTGAGTGATGCCTGAGTATTGCTGTCATTTTGCCTTCAATTCCAATGTTACACAGCTAGTTCCACCTCAAGGTCTCATGTAGTGAAAAATTAAAAAAGATATATATTTTGTATCTGCTATTACACACTTTAAACTCAAGCGCTACTAATTAGGGTTTAATCATTTGGTAGTGCCAGTTCTACCCATGACTTGTAGATTTGGCATCATGCATGAATGAATGAATCTTATCATATCCCTGAGGTTAGTTGATTTATCTGAGGAAAAAAACTGACTTGTATTTGAAGCAAAAGCAGTGATAAGTCTGATGCTGTGTTACTCACCCAAGTAATAGTCATCTGGAAGTCAGTGTTAGCACATCTGGGGCTTCAGCTGATTAACACTGATTAAGCATGCAATAATACTAAATGATTGTACATGAGTTGACCAGAGAGAATCTTAGATCCAGATGCATTGCTTATGTTGTATCTTGATATTCAGGGCACATTAAGACTGTGTATTACTATCAAAATATGAGGAATTCTGAGAACGAGCACACATTTGTGAATAGTCGAAAGAAACAGCAAATCTGCCTATTAGAGAAATCTGTCTGTTGATTTATCTTCCCATGTGAGCGGGTATTTTCAAAGGCTGGAAAAATTGTAAATAAAAAAGTGTACATATGTAAAAAAATGGAAATTAAAAAAAAAAACATGGAGAAAATCTTATTTCTGAACAAATACTGAATAATACACGTTCTTGTCCACAATCACACCACCCACCATTAAATAAAACTGCAAAAGCACTCTCACTGCCCTGTCCACAACTGCTACTTTCACATCCATGAGCACAAAATTCTGTCATGTTAAATAAATCATACATCAAGCCCACTTGAGCCTTGCCTATGGAAAAGTAGGCAATGGACTAGGGCTGTGATAACCTACTTATATTTATCAAAAGCCCTGCTCGGGAGTTTGTCAAAAAAATTTAGAACTTTAAAACTAAATATATAACTTAATATATCTACAGTATATAGTTATAAACAGAATAATTATATAACAATACATGCCAACCAGCAACAGTGTGAATGTAATAATAATTATTACTATTCCATCAGAATAGTTTTTTCCAATATGCCTTATCAAGATGTGTTCTGGGTGTATTCAGCCATCAGTACTTTTTCTAAGCGTTCTGCTCAACCCTGGATATTTGTACCCAACACAATAATAAGATTTTGAAGACATGCACAACAAACAATTTAGTTTTATCAGTTGTTTTTATTGAAACAACAAACATCATGTCTTTAATGCCCTGGAACAGAGTTTTTAAATCTGTGAAAAAAAAGATACATGAAGCACTTTGTGGTTTTGGCCGCCAGATGCCACTAATGTGCACTGTGTCATGAAGCTTCAAGTACTGAACCTTTTTACAATACAGTTAGGAGGACAGCTTCAGTGCTTCAGAAAGCTTCAGTTTGCCATCACTAAAAAGAAACATGGGCAAAATACCTAAAACAAAAGCATACCACCCAACACAAGAGATTGAAACACAAATGATCAGTCCTTTATCTCTTCACCCATCTTGAAAGCTTTATTTTAAGGCTGAAGCTCCTTTCCAAAGTTACACAAGCTGGGCCTCTGATTGGTTAGATGTCCTCCTCACATGACTGACGGCAGAGCAGGTACACCTGCCAAGGGAGACCAGGAGAGAGAGAAAGACACACATAAACAAAAAAGTCTAAAACATGTGCTTACACGTAACAATTCTTCTTCCCCAAGAAATGTATCAAAATATTCTCAATAAAGGCTTCTGTTTATGTTTGAAACTTGTTTTCACCAACATTATGCTATTTTTCTAAACACTTTTGGGGGGGATCTGGGGTGGGTTTTTTTTTGGTATCTTTTCCAATTTTTTCCCCCAATTTGGTAATATACAATTCTACTCATTAGTTAGGACTCCCCCAGTCACAATACCAAAAAGAACTAGAAGGGTAAAAGCTAACGCAGGCTACCTCCGAGACCTGTGAAGCACCATCACATCTTTTCGAAGACAACGTCATTGGACAGCTGAACGCCCACCCAGAGAGCAAGGCCAGTTGTGCTGTCTTGGACTCCCGGCCACGGATGGCTATAGCATCACCAGGGATTGAACTTGAGATCTCCTGATGATATGGCCAACACTTAGACAGTTGCACCACTCAGGAGCCTGGGGTGTTGTTTTAATTAAATGTGTTCAATGCTTTAGTGAACTTCTAATTCTGCCTTCATTAACCAACTGCTCTTAAGAAGAAATGCTAAGAACAGAATCTACACACAATCAAGAGCACAAAGGTGAGAACAGTTCTGCGCTTTAAGAACACGTCATGAATCTGACGCAGACTTTTTCTTAAGACCTTTCTCAAGATCACATTTAAGAAAAAACTTAGAAAGATATTGGTGAATGAAGGCCTTTAAGGTTGCAGTACAAAATTACTTTTTTCTTATTTCAACTCAAGTAAAAAACTTTGACTTTATATTTTGTCCACTTTAATGTGAATATTAGGATATTATGAACAGCCATGAACAAAAATAGCAAATACAAGAATAGATATTGTTCACCTGACGTACACTTTGTCCCTGTTAATGAAAGGTGGTCTTAAACCTTGTGTTTCTTATAGACATCAGGCTAACATTCACAGTCCACTTACAAATTCTCTAGTGGGCTTATTGGGACTTTAAATAGCTTATGGAGGTTGTACGTTGAAAACAAAATAATAAAGTTGTGCATTTATATTTTCAAAAATGTACTTTTTTTCTTGAAATAGAATTACCATAGTTGTATGGTTTAGTCTTCGTAGGGTAACCTTTAAACACACCTTAATTATTATTATTATTATTATTATTATTATTATTATTATTATTATTATATACCTAATATTAAAAACAAAACACACACACAACTGATAGTTTAAATAAAGTGTTAATATGATGCTGAATGCAACATATCACTTGCTTTTGTGCTCAAGAATCGTAATGAGAGAACAAGTTGAACATAAATGTGTTGTGAGTCACACTGTAGAGCTGGTGCTTCTGCTGAAGTGTTTAAGGACCAGAGAATCTGAAAGCTAAACCTCCCCAGATACTGCAGTGTCAGAGTGAAAGTAATGATTCTATTGGCTGATTTACTGAGTGGTCTCAGTTAGAGAGAGAGGAACAGAGAGACTGTAGTCAGTCAGCTCTCACTCATGTATGAGTTTGTTTCCTCTACGCTGATCAAGATGAAGCTGTGTTTGATTCTCGTCTGTGCAGCTCTTCAATACACAGAGGCTAAAAGTGAGTAAATGTGAATATATTACTATTTAGTAACCGTAGTGCCAAACTGTTGTCATTGTTTTAATAGTATAATTTTGTACAAACAGGAGCTGGTAGATTTGTGTGATGGTTTTGTTGAGAGTGCTCAGTGGTTAATTTGGGTGCTACTAAAAGAAAACAAAACTTATATTCATACTTTACAATCAGAGACACTACAAACATTTACACATACACACATTGCAAAGACATCAGCCTGCAAGAACAAGTCAAAGTGCAGAAGACAACACTGACTCAAGCATTCACATTAAATGGTTCATGGGATATGGGGTATTGTGGCTAATGTGAAAACATCAATGTGTGCAAAACATTCAGTGGTGTATAATCTACCATCTCTGTCCAAAAAAATAAAATAAAATAAACAAGTATTTCCATTTTTGTTTTTTCTATATCATTTGAACACAGCAGCTGACCTTTACATTATTTACATTACAAAATGACTTGAAATAATGTTTTTGCCTTTTCCTGTAAAGCTACCATTTTGGAGAAACTTGTTTTTCTTTGGACAGCGATGATATGGGTTATAACTGGTGTTAAAAAATACAATAAACAATTCTGTGGAAAAGTCAGAGCTTTTCATTCATTTCATTTTCCGTAAAAAATGATAAGTAAGTAGAAGTGCTTTATCTTTCAGTAGATATTTCTGAGGAGATTAGATATACAATAGTCTAGTTGCAAAAGGAAGGAGAAAGTCAAAGGAAAACAAGTGAAAAAAAGGAGTGTGCAAAAACCTGAGTTTGTAACCTGTAAAGAGAGGACACTAAATACTGAAACATCTGATCATCTGATATTATGTTTAGATGTTGAGGTAATTTGTTACGTTAAACATGTTTTATGTTTTTTTTTTCCTTGAAACTGAAAAATTAACTGCTTATACTTATTGCCCATTTCCATTTGAAATTAAATAACTGAAGTGGGATTTTTGCACAGTTCTGCATAACACAATATTTTACTGTAAGTGGATGCTGATTGTTTGAGATGTGACATTTTTATCTAAGATGAAGGTCTGGGGCCTGTAGTCCAGGAGAGTCAGAGAAGCCACACACACACGCATACACACACACACACACACACACACACACACACACACACACACACACAGCACTGATTGTCTTCAAAAGTACACACATTTTAGCCATCTGTTTATAACACATTTATATGTAGATTTACATAAAACACCTGCATACCTGCATTTGTTTTTATTTTTTTTTTGCTTCATGAGAATGACAGTATAAAAGTGACTGAAAGATGAAAGTTTATTCTTTCAATTGTTCATTGTTTGCAGTAGCAGTGTGAAACTAAACAGTTAAAAAGAGTTCATGGTGCTGAAAATAGAGGAGATTAACAGGTAGAAATAGCCTTGTTTTGCCTGTCCTTGAAAGGCTTATTTAATAAAACAGTGTGTGTGTGAATGTGTCCTTTTATTTTTTCCTCAGTTCAGCACACGGACATTGCAGTAGATCTGTGCTCTGATACAGATGAAGATAAAGAGAAAATATTTGGGCTGGATGGAGAAGAAATGTGGCACGCTGACTTCAGTCAGGGGAAAGGAGTGATGACCCTGCCAGAGTTTGCAGATCCTTTCTCCTATGAAGAAGGAGCCTATGAGGGGGCTGTTACTAATCAGGAAATTTGCAAAAAAAACTTAGGCATTGCTGCAAAAAGTTACAATTACCCTGCAGAACCAAAGGGTAAGATATTGACATCACTGCAACACACATTTCTTCACAAGTAAATGAGACAGAGAAGAGAGATCATGTAAAAAAATAAATAAATAAAACATATGTACTGAGACAGTTCTGGGGAAACGTTCATATGCATGCTGCAGTATAGTAACTGTTTGAAGACTCATACAGTTTTATCAAACTTAATTCCGGCCAAATGAATTACACTGCAAAATAAAGTGATGTAAATTTGTACTGTAATATCTGGATGTGATGATTATGTATGTGTTTGTATTTCTGTTCTATACCATTTGAAATCTAAATGTTGAATAATAATATAAAAATAGAAATATTTTGTTCACAGATGCCCCCCAAAGCTCAGTCTACTCCAAGCACAAAGTACAGCTGGGCTCTAAAAACACCCTCATCTGTCACATCACTGGATTCTACCCTCCTCATGCCAGAGTGTCGTGGACTAAGAGCAATGTAAAAGTAACAAATGGAGTTAGTTTTAGCAGATATTATCCAACCAGTGATGGAACCTTCAACCTGGTCTCCACCTTGAGCTTCACTCCAGAGGAGGGTGACATCTACACTTGCACTGTGGAGCACACAGCCCTGGACAGACCACTGACCAAAACATGGGGTGAGATTTATACCTGCTGATGGACCTGATTCTCTAAAGTTCACGTTCAGACAACAACATGAAAGGAAAGATTAACTATGCGTATAAGTTATAAAAAGAAAACAGTTTTAAAACTGACTAACAAACTAACAAATCCTATTAATTACCATTATATTTTTCTCAGCAAATAATCTATATGAATTGTGTTGTACAGATGTGCAGGTGGCTCTGCCCAGTGTGGGTCCGTCTGTGTTCTGTGGAGTGGGTCTGGCTGCAGGACTGCTGGGAGTCGCTGCTGGAACTTTCTTCCTCGTCAAAGGAAACAACTGTAACTGAGAGTCTGACCACCTGCAGATCATTTGTGATTTTTGTTCTTTTACTTTGCATTTTGTAATTTTTTCGTTAATGTAATTTTTGGTTTAAATGTTGCATTGTGTGTCTTCAAGCCTTTGCAAGTCCACTGAAACTAAATTACTGTTATATTCTTACATATTGTGATGTTCTACTCAAAAAATGCTATGCTCTTATATTGTGATGACCTAAAATTATTTAGTTAACTAATGTAGAGTGTAATTTAGTAAACCATCTGCACAGTTTTATAATAATCTATTTGCTTCAAACCAGTTTTTCTATAAGCTGATTATTGGAATGAAACCTGCAGGTAATTACAGTGTAAAGCAAACCAAATTTCTATTTCAAATATTAATAATTAGAGATTAGTGTAAGATAAAAATAAAATGTAATTAGACAGTTGTTTCAAATCAAGACTAAAGGCCATCTTTATTTTCATTGTACGTAATTTTGTTATTGGGTAATAAGTAAAATATCATGGTGTGCTTGCAGCTAAAAATGTGAGAACTGGGAAACAAGATTTGATATCAGATTTCACTTCTCATTTTCAGTAATTTGGACATTACACATTATGGAGTCTTACTTGAACACTGATTAATGATCAGGCCATCATAAGTGGAGTGTAATTCAAGGAAGGGACATCTTGATCATGTAAAAAGTGAAGAATTGTGAGAAATACATGAAACTACATAAAACATATGAGTATATAAAAGAATATAAATGGAGATCCTGCTTTATTAAAACACAGAAAGCCTTACAGCTATTTTCGGAGTGTTTTTGGTGCCCTCAGCTTTTGCCTTCTAATGCATATCACTGAAAATGAACAAGTCACCTCTGAGCTGTTTTAGGTTACCTTATGACACTGTCTACTTCTAGATTTGAAATTTACAACTTCAAAATGAATGCTTCAATTTTTAAAGTAGAAGCTCCTCAATAATAATAATAATAATAATAATAAAAATAATAATAATAATAAGCACTGCTGTGTCTGATCCACTCAACCAGCACAACACACACTAACACACCACCACCACATCCGTGTCACTGCAGTGCTGAGAATGACACACCACCCAAATAGTACCTGTTCTGTGGGGGTCCCGTGGGCGTCCTGACCACTGAAGAACAGGATAACAAGGTATACAGAGAAACAGATGGACTACAGTCTGTAATTGCATAACTACAAAGTGCTCCTATGCCTACAGGGGAGCTGATAAAATAGACAAAGAGTGTATAAACAAGGAGGCATTCCTAATAAAGTGCTCAGCGAGTGTATGTCACACACATAACTGAACTTCCAAGTTGTACCCTGAAAGCTGTAGAAACAATACAGTTGATGGGAGAAACAGCAATGCTACTGTGGAAGATAATGAGGGGAAGCTAACAAGTATATATATATATGTATATATATCACCATTGTTTACCTTCAAGGCTTTCTGTGTTCTGGCTCTGGCATACCTTTCTGATCTTATTTCGTTATATTGTCCCTTTCGTGCTCTCCAATCTTCTAATTCTGGACTCCTCACAGTTCTTTCAACTAGACTTTCTACGATGGGTGGCAGATCTTTCTGTGCTGCTGCCCCCAAACTCTGGAATACTTTACCTTCCACTCTTCGTAATTGCTCTTCTTTGTCTTCCTTCAAATCTCTGCTAAAAACCTTCCTTTTTTCTTCTCTTTAGTCTTCTAGATGATACTATGTAAAGTGTCCTTGGCTTTGTGAAAGGCGCTATATAAATTGAACTTATTATTATTATTATTATTAGTCACAAGTCAGTTTGTGAAATTTCTTCCCTGTTAGATCTGCCCTGGTCAATGGTAAGGGCTGTTATTGTGAAATGAAAGCATCTAGGCACAACAACAGCTCAGCCACAAAGCGGTAGACCACGCAAACTCACAGAGTGGGGCCGAAGAGTGCTGAAGTGTGTAAAAATCACCCATCTTCTGTTGCTTCACTCACTACAGAGCTCCAAACTGCCCTTGGAAGCAACATCAGCACAAGAATCATGCATCAGGAGCTTCATGAAATGAGTCTCCATGGCTGAGCAGCTGTACACAAGTCTAAGATCACTATGCGCAAACTTCTAACATTATATAGTTACTATTTAAGACTACAACAAAAGAGGCATTTGCATAGTAGAGCACTCTTGCATGAGATTATCATTCAGTCACAGTGAAATGAAATAACAGCTGCATAAATTCGCATCACACTCAACATTACAACATCACATCACACACATTAGATACTACATAATGATATTGACCCTGTCCTCAGGGCTTCCTAGACAGTTCACATTTTAGCTCCATCCTTATGCATTGTGAGTAAGGTAGAGTAAAAACTTGTCTCTGTAGGCCTGAGGACCAGTTTAAAGATCACTGGGCTACACCATAACTACACATATGTAAAGTTTTGAAATGAAAGCTGACAAATTAAAAATGTATTGAACCTTGGTATATAATTTTATTAGATTCAAACAGTGCAATAGTATTAGTAAACCCTTAGTCTGAAATGTGTTTTTGCTGCTGCCTAGTAACCTGTGATGAAGTGGTTTAACAGATTCTGATTGGTCAGTGAGCTGAAGAGTCTGTATGAACTGGAAGTCACTCGTTTACACTCTCTCAGTTGTTGCTGGATGTAGAGCGAGACAAAATGATCCTGATTCTGCAGCTGCTGCTCGCACTGACTGTACTTTCAAGTGCAGGTATGTTTACAATTTACAATTATTTTAAGAATTCTATTTAAATGAAACATATATCTTATATTGTATATTGATATATATACTACACAAAGTCTTAGGCTACCTAAGAAAAACCTTTAAAACCTTTTATCTGGACAATAAAATAAATGTTTTTGATTTCATAATTATAAAATACATTTAGATTTTAATACTAATAAACATGAATACAGTAACAAGATTTCTTTTTCATTATTTCTGCCATATTTGTAGTTATTGCTGTGTTGTGAGTTCAAAGCAAGTAAATTCAATGCATAATGTTTTCAGTGCAGGTTCAGTGCCTCTCATCCTTCATGCAGCTCTAGATATTCTTTTTTTCCAATTATTCCAGAAAGTAAAGTATTGATTAATGAATTATTGACACAAAGTACCGATTAAACTGATATAACTTCATGAAATGTTGATTGAACTGATTAAACATAATGAAGGGTTGATTAAACCGATTTCAATTGAAAGTACTGATCAAATTATTTCATTTAATGAATTATTGATAAAAATGATTTAACTTAATGAAGGGCTAGTTAAACTGGTTTAGCAGACTAACAGACATAATTTATGGTAGTAGTTTTCTGAGAGAAAGAAGTTAAGGTGTTTTTGAGGTTTATGTGATGTAAAATGTTACTACTAATTTATTTATTTTTCTTTGCATTGTTTCATTTAAAGTAAAACCATTTACAACTGCTTGTTACCACATCAAGTATTTTTTGGGTTAAACAGACAAACTAGCTTTTACAGTGTAGCCAGATAAAGAATGCTAAACCTAGTCTTGATGGAGTCTTGATAAAGCCAATTACTTTTGATTACCATCTAAAGCAGGGGTATTTAATAAAAATTCAATAAAGTCCAGTTAAAGAAAATTTCATCAAACAAAGGTCCAGAACATCTTAAAGTCTAACTTGCATCATGACTCAGTGCCATATACTGTTTCCTGAAGTAGCCCAGTAGGTATATCAGCATCTTATACAGTCAACAACACAATGTCAAATCAAATAAAGTACAATTCAGTCATATTTCAACAACATTTATAGTCAGTTTTCTCTTTTTAGAGAACGACATGTAAAATGATCTGGCTCACTTTCTTTACCAACTGTTGTTTCTCGCCTCGTCCCTCCCCTGTGTGGCGTCACTCACTCGAGTCTCAGTGCTCATTGTAATGGACAGATCTGATTGGCTGAGTAGCTTCTCATGATGTTCACAACGCATGCGATTGGTCTGTCAGTCTCCCGGGCTGCTAAAGCTACCATAAAGGCTAGAAAAGTTACGCTGATTAAAACAGGACCACCCCGTCGAAATTAAATAATTCTCCATAGTTTATTGGTTATAGGTCCAGGTCTGCATAGGACAGTGTCTGGGTCCAGACTTGGACCGCAAGCATCTAGAGGTGTTGTCAATTCATTTTGTTCAATCAGTTTAATCAATCCTTCATCACTTTGTTGTTGTTTTAATCAGTTTTCTCTCATTTATATTATTTAACAAAAGCATGCAAGTCAGTGAAACTGAATTAGTAAAGATAGCTTGTTTCAATGATATTAAGCCAGTTATCAGATTTACTTCACAAGTGTTTGATCAGTATAATTCTGTTGAGTAAAACCCAACATCTTTCCCAGTGGCTCCTGGCACTGTCTACTTGCATATTGTTTTACTCACCATCTTTGTGTTGTTTTTCCTCTTACATTGCCTACTGTCACGCGTGTGCATCTTTCTTATACTCCATGGTTAGCCACCACATTGCTTTTGGCCTTAAGTTACCATGTAACTACTGCTGAGCAGAATTCTATAATAGCTCATAAAAATAAATTAAATTTAACTTAAACCTGTTGAATTTATGTTCTTTTGCTACTTAAAAAAGAAGAACATACAGTTGCAAGAAAAATGATTGAACCCTTTGGAATTAGCTACATTTATGTATAAAGTTGTCTTAACATATGGTCAGGTCTTCATGTAAGTTACAATAAAGAACAAACAAATCTGTTTAATAACACAAAAATAATGTATTGTTCTTGTCCATATTAAATACATCATTCAAACTTTCACAGTGTTGGCTGGAAAAAGTATGTGAACCCCTAGGCTTATGCGTTCAACAAAAGCTAACTGGAGTCAGGAGTTAGCAAACCTGGAGTCCAGTCAAAGAAATGAGATTGGGGGTGTGGCTTAGAGCTACTTTGAGCAAACCACTCAAACATTTTGTGTTTGCTGTTCAAATCTGAAGCATCTGATGATGTGAACCATGCCTCGCAAAAATGAGATCTCAGAAGACCTCTGATCATTAATAGTTGATTTGCATAAAGCTAGAAAGGGTTACATAGTAATCTCAAAGATTTATGGTATTCATCAGTTTACACTTAGACCAACTCTCCATAAATGGAAATGATTCAGTACTGTGTCTACTCTCCCATCCAAAATCACTCCAGAAAAAAAAAAACAAAGCAGAATGATTAATGAGGCAAAAAAGAACCTAGAGTAACAGCTAGGTTTGAAGAAATCATTAAAACTGGCTAACATCTCTGTTCATAAGTCTACCATATGACAAACATTGATCAGGCAGAATAACATGGATGAAGCCACTGTTCGCCAAAATCACTTGCACATCAAATAATTTGCCAAAGAGAAAAATGTGAAACTGATGAAAATGTGGGCTGATGAAAGTAAAGTTCAGTTGTTCAGGGAAAACACACAGCACTACATATGGTGTAAAAAGATCAGTGCATACCAACATGAAAGCATCATCCCAACACTGAAGTATGGTGGAGGGAGCATATTGATTTGGGGCTGCTTTGCTGCCTCTGGGCCTGAACTGATTGCCATCATTAAAATTAATTCCCAAGTTTATCAAAGTATCCTACAGGATCATGTCAGGGTGGGTATTCACTGGATGAAGCTGGGTGATGCAGCAGGACAATGAGGTAAATCTATTATGCCTTTTGCAGTGGCCCAGTCAGAGCCCACAGCTTAACCTAATAGAGATGCTGTGGAGTGACCTCAGGAGAGCCATTCACACCAGACATCCAAAGAATATGGATGAGCTTAAGCAGTTCTGTAAGGACGACTGGTCCAGTATTCCTCTTGATCATTTTGCATGTCTGATCTGCAGCTACTGGAAGTATTTTCTTGAGGTCATTGCTGCCAAAAGAGGTTCAAACAGTTATTAAATCTAAGGGTTCACTTACTTTTTCCACCAGCACGGTGAATGTTTAATTGATGTGTGCCATAAAGACATAAACGATTATCATTGTTTATGTGTTATTAGTGTTAGCACATCCTGTTTGTCTAAACTGGTGACTTAGATGAAGAACAGATCACATTTTGTAACCAGTTAATGCAGAAAACAGATTCCAAAATGTTTATATAATTTCTCTTACTACTGTAACCATGAATGTTGCGATAATAATAATAATAATAATAATCTTTATTTATAGAGCACCACTCATACACAGAGCAGCTCAAAGTGCTTTATAATTTAACAGTAAAGTTAAGTAATAAAAGCAAAAACCCACAAAAGCAGAGAAATGAATAAAATAAAAAATAGTATTTCAAAGAAGAAGTAAATTAAAAGATATGTTTGTAAATGTTTTTCATTCATATTTTTTAAAATGTGTATTGAACTTGACTGTCTTATTGTAAAAGGTAATGAATACCACAGTTTAGAAGCATAAAATCAGAAAGAGGCCTCTCCACTGTTTCTGTATATTACACAGGATAATACATAAAGATGCTCAGTCCAGTTAATTAGAACTCACTTCTGTGTGATTTATGTGAAATTACTGAATACAGTATTACTTACTTCAGCATCTTAAAAGCTGCTTAACACAGTTACATTGAATGACCTGACATTACATTTTTAAGTAAATTCAACATTTTAATTTTTTTGAGAGCATGTTCTTCTAATCAGCTCACAGCAACAGCAATATACCATTACTGAAAACACAACATTCTGATTACTTTCTACTAGAGCTGTAGTCAAGACCACCCTTGTCCAAGACCATGACTAGTGGAGATCAAGTCAAGACCGAGTTTAAATGGGGCAGAGTCCAAGACAAGACTGGGTCCAAATGGGAGTGAGAATGATTAAGATCAAAACCCAAAAAATTGGCTCCTCTTCAAGACCAAGCCGTAATTACTCTTTACCTCCTTCCAGTACAAGTTGGAAAACATAAAAGAATGATTTATTTTCTTTCCACAAAACAAAACTGTGTAACTCCATCAAATTCAAGTGACAGAAAATATCCTCTTCTGTTTACAAAGACAACTGTGTTAAGAATTAAACGTTTCTTGGCATTCAATGCCTTATCATGAAATATCGTAGAAATTCAGTTATAAACAGAATCTATTCCTGTGTTAATGGCTTCATTTAGTCAATGTATTAATTTGGCTGTTTTAAGTAATTATTGTTTTGGCCTCAAAATTATATCAAGATATCTGATTCTTTTCTGACCTTAATGTAAGTCAAACTAAAGCCTTTAAATGAGCAAAACAAAATGTTCCAATCAATAATGAACCCTTCCTGCCTGTCAACTTGCCTGGATCATCTGCCTCTAGTTTTAAACAGAGCTCAGTGCAATATAGTTTATATAGAAAACTGTGTGCAGCTCTTTATTGCCAGGTTCAGTGCCATCCAATCCAATTTTGGAAACATGCTTCTCAAACTTTAATTCAGCCTTACCACACAACATACCTAACCAATTTAACTCTGATTAGCAATATTAAAGTACAAACACTGTTAGCTAGCAAAGTGCAAATATATGCATTTGAGTGCATTAAGCTACAGTCAGTTAGCAAAACATTGGTTTACATCATAGTTATGCAAGGCTGTTAAATTCAGTAAGACCTCATTTACTTGGAACACACCTCTTGTACAAACAAATGTTTCAGTTAGCTTCCTAAGTCATGGCATCTGTATGTTATCTGGCTACACAAACTCCAGTAGACACCTCTGTGACAGAATGCTTTAAATTACTTCTGAATTAATGGGATAAATAACAGCACATAGGCTACTTATTGAGGTATAACGAAACTTTAAGAAATGTATTCACGGAGTTAAAAATCGCGAAATAGCAGGAATTAACCAAGCAATAGTTACACAACCGTGAAACTCAGCAGAACGAGATGAGGGGGTTGTGCATTTAAATGTGCGTAAAAAAAAAAAAACTTGGGAGGTGGGGCACGAGAACGTGCACCTGTTTAGGGGTTATTTCTTAACACGGTTAATCACATCGAATAGTTAAAATGTTTGGAAGATTATATGAAACTATTTAGGTTACTTTTCCACAATACAGAGCACTGGAGCTCAGCTGTGTTTGATGTCGAGATCAACTAAAGCTGTTGTATTTCAGTTCAGTCTGGTCCAGTTTAACCCCACATCAGCGCGCACTGGTGACTGTTAAAATAAAAATATCCACTTTTTTTTGGTATTTGGACTCAAGAAAATACATTTGTCGAAACTGATGGCCAAGACCGAGACAAGTTTGAGTACAAATATCGAGGCCAAGACAAGTCTCAGATAATAAAAAAGTCTCTAGCCTGGACTTGAGTACTACAGCCCTACATTCTACTGTATTCATGTTTATTCATATTTATTCTACTTTTATGTAATGTTTTATATTATGCGAAACACTACAAAACACTAATGAACGTTTGGGATGTATATTATTAATATCTAATTATTTAGGGTTAAGTAAATTTCAAAATTTGACACTAAAGCTGTTTAGACCTTACCTTCTCTGGGTTATGAAGTAAGAAAAGAAAAATCAACTAAACACTGAGTGATTTCTGAATTAAACAGCGTATTCATATTTATTTGCTTGTCTTACACAGACATTTTTGTTATCGTGACTGTTTATTTATTTTCATTGACAGATGGATATTATTTTTACGACACAAATGAGTGCATCTCCAGTTCATCAGATCTGTCTGATGTGGAATACATTTATACCCAGCATTTCAATAAGCTTGCAGATATTCAGTTTAACAGCACTGTGGGGAAGTTTGTAGGGTTCACTGAGGTCGGAGTGAAGCAAGCAGAGATCTGGAACAGCGGACCTGAACTACAGACGAGGAGAGGCGAGCTGGAGAGATACTGCAAATACAACCTACCAATATTCTTCTCTACTATTCTGAATAAAGCAGGTAAGTGACACACAGACACACTGATAAAAGAAAACATGAGAGCTTTAACAGCAGCAGAGAGCTGAGCCGGAGAGACACTACAGAAATAACCTGGAAAATGATTCCTCCTGTGTTTTTAAAAAGGCAGGTGAGCATGAAGTAGAGATGGAGATGAGTCACAGTCCAGTCCCTGAATTACTGAAATACAACATCACTGATTTACAGACTCAATAAAGAAATAATGAATGACAAACTCATTCACAGTGTTTTAATGCTATTCATGCTAATCATAATTTTAATGTTTGAAAATAGTAAGTTATAGGTTTTTGTAAATATGATGTTTGAGGTTGTTTGAAGTCTGAAAGCGCACCTGTGTCTTAACCTAAACCTAATTATAGTGGCATTCAAATATTACACTGTTTATACAACTGTTTATACTGTTGATTTATATCACATATATGATTTATATAAGCTCCTCTATGAATTTTGTATTAATTTGTCATTTACATTTTTACAATGTATAATTCATCTCTAGTTGAATAATTTCTATAACATCATTTCTAGTCTTTGTATTTCTCATGAAAATGAACCAAAATTAGAAATATTATATTTTAAAATGAAATTGAGCCCTCTAACAATTTATGTCCTAATGATTCCACTTCACTTTAATAAACTATGACAAAAGACAAATGGCAGTAAAATAGAAGCATCTGAAATGGCATTTTTTCTAAATTAAATAGTTATTGTTATTATATTAATTACATAAATAGATTAACTGAAATCATTAAAATAATATATTGAATAGCATTCTTTTTCTTTCTTCTTCTTCTTCGTCTTCTTCTTCTTCTTATTTTTATTATTACTATTACTAGTACTATTATTAAAGCAACAATTATAGCACTTCATTTATAACATTATATTTAAGTTCCTTAATGTTTTAACATTTAATTGGTAAGTTTTAATGATTATTATCAAAAAACATGAGGTGTGTACGGAACTCTGCTTTACAGAGCTCACACATAATTTTTTCTCCAGCAAGACATCTGAAACCCAAAAGTTCACATTTTCACTTAAAAAGAAAGAAAGAAGGAAAGAAATCAATCACAAATGTACTGCTCTCTACACTATAGCTCTCTCTCAAGTATTGTACCACTTAATATAAATACATGGATCTATGATATAGAATGATAACAAATACTGAATGACAAAAAATGGGAAAAATCAAACCAGTGCTGCCTTCAAGATGAAATTTCAGAATTAATTAGATCATAGCCATTCAGTATAGATGTCTAGATCACATTTGTTCTTCAGAAGAGAACAATGGGCACAGACTACCTTTTTGTGATAGAATGAGACATTTTTTGGAGAACAGACAGATTGTAGGAGCTATTTGAAGTGTGAATTAGGTCATTTTATTGATTGCTGTAGACAAAATGTTAAAGTTAATTAAAGCAGTAAATCATGAAAGGTTTTGTGTTAGCTGTGGCAGGAAACCTTCGGTTCACCTTGTGCCTAACAACACCTCAATAATTTAATTTATTATTAATGATAATAACAATAAACTGTTCTTGCACCAAGCAGAGATAATTTGTTAGCAGCAGGCTATGGTTACCAAACATTTTTAAGGTTATTTAATCACTTGGTACATAAAACATAATTAAATTGTTGAAAACATGGCCATTCTGTAAAACCATTCACAACAAATGTATAAAAAACAAATAAAAAAACATAAAATTAATAAATTGTATTTATTAGTATACATCATTGTGTATCACATTTACTTGCATGGAAATAATAATGTAATGTAATGTAATATATAATAATACATATCATTATACATTATAATATTCATATTGATAATGTTTCTGACGGGTTGGCTACAGAATTTCTGAACACTATGCAATCTTTTAATTTTGTTCAGCATGTGGTTGGCCCGACTCATACTCGAGGTCACACATTGTTCACTTTAGGTTTGTCTCCCTATTCTGTCTCTATGGTGGATTTATTTGTGTCAGATCATAAGTGTATTACTTTGAATATGCCCCTGTTTATGATTAAGGCTGGTTCCATTGTGTACATTGTGTACAGTCATGCTTTCTTAATGATAAATCAGTATCACTGTGTGTAGTGAACAGTTGTTTCTCTGTACTGATGTTAATGACCTTGCTTCAAGTTCATTATTTATACTTGAAGGAGTTGTGGTCTGTTTTTAAAAATAGAGTTAGGGATGCTAGAGCCAAATATTTTAATGATTTAATAACTGTTAATATGCATAACCCGAGCTTTTTGCTTTCTAGGAGAGACTCCCTAGTAAATGGAGTTGGCAAGAGCACACCCAGTTCTAAGATTGACGTTGAACAATTTTTAAAGTTTTTCCGGGAGAAGATCACAGATCTTAGCAATGATATTTTGTTTCCCTCTATATTGAAGTGATTCCTCAGTTTGCATCCCTCCTGGGGACATTCTCCCAGCTACATTTGTGAAGAAGGCTTTTGATTCTGTGGGAATTCACCTTCAATCAATTGTGAATTTATCACTTAGTTCAGGTTGTGTTCCAGATTGTTTTAAGCTGGCAATGGTGAAGCCTAGTCTCAAAAAAACCTAGTCTGGATTCTACAGATTGTCTAAATTATAGACCGATCTACAAGTCTCAAAAATTTTTGAGAAAGTGGCTGCAAAACAGCTGTTGGTTCTGCTGGAAGAAAATTGTATTTTTGAGGAGTTACAATCAGGTCTTAAACAGAAACATAGTATAGAGACAGCTCTTGTAAGAATTTAAATTGATATCTTAATGAATGCTGATGCTAGAGAGGTCTCTATTTTGGTATTATTGGATATCAGTGCAGCTTTTGACACTGTTGACCGTAATATTTTGATAAATAGGCTGCATCAGTGGGTTGGAATATCAGGGACTGCCTTAGACTGGCTTGTTTCATATTTATCCAATAGAAAATTTAGTGTATTTTTTTGGAGATAAGTTGTCGTCATTTGCTGATCTTTCATGTGGGGTCCCACAAGTGTCTATCCTTGGTCCTATTTTGTTTTCTTTATATTATGCTTTCCTTGGGAAATTTGATTCGCCATTTTAATATATCTTATCATTTTTGTGCTGACAATACACAGCTTTATCTCTCTGTATACAGGATTGATTTCAGTAGATTAGAAAGTCTTACTTAATGAATTCAAGTTATTAAGGATTGGATGGTTTGTAATTTCCTTAAGTTAAATAAGGGAAAAACAGAAATACTGGTTCTGGGCCCTCAGAATGTTGTCAGCAACTTAAAGAAGGAGCTTGGATTACTGGCCGCAAGGATAAATCCTTATCCTAGAAAAGTGGGTGTCATTTTGATTCAGAACTAAATTTCTCCATGCATGTAACAAAGCTGGTACAGTTTAAAAATCAAGCTAAAATCAGAAAAAATGCTTTGCATTTAGGATACAGAGAAAATTATTCACGCTTTTCTATAGTCATATCTTGATAACTGTAATACCTTATTTACATGTCAAGGAGCTATGACACGGTTGCAACTTGTCCAAAATGCAGCAGCGTGGATACTTACTAGGACTAAAAGAAGGGAGCATATTACACCCATTTTGCCATCATTGTATTGGCTGCCTGTTACTTTCAGGGTACAATTAAAAATTTTCATTTCAACAGTGCCTGGTGATGGGCCACAATAGATCTCTGAGCTATTAGTGCCATATTCTAACGTTAGGACACTGAGGTCCTCTAATCAAGGGCTTTTAGTGTCTCTAGAACAAAGCAAAAATGGAGGGAGACCTTTTCAGTATATGCTACTAAGCTCTGGAATATTCTGCCCTTAGACATTAGATTTGCTGAGTCTAAGGAGATGTTTAAAAAAAAAAGGCTTAAGACATATCTGTATGCCTTAGCCTTTGAAGTTGGACACAGCTAACGTTCTCTGTGTTGTTTGTGGGTAAGGCTGTACTGTCTTTAGTTTTATGTTATTTGTTTTATACTGTTTTATTATTGTATTTACTCTTACATGATTATTAAGGGGCTGACCTGTCCTCATATTACTGACTTTACAGAAACAATATTGGCGATGTCGGATGCACCTGCTCAACACGTGCAAAAGAACAATGACAATACACTGTGAAAGTTCACAGAGATGTTCGTGTTTAAAAAATAGACTATTTTATATGTTCACAAAGAGGGGAGGAGGCCAAAAAAAGACTTTGTACATATATGATGAGCCCTCAGATTAATCTATATAGGCAATCCCTGTTTTGGCTCCACCTTGTTGTGGGCAAAATACTGGTTCATCTGGTATACTGGTTGAAATCGAAGATGAGTTTTGTCACAATCATTATACCAATATGGCACAAATATGAAAAAATGTACCATTTTGTCAGTAGATTTTATGACAATTATTGATTGCCTTCTCTGGCTGTGCTTGCAGTGATGCCACTCTAAAATCAGTAAAAGCGTTCCCATGTAGCTTACACTCATAAATCCTCCACTGGCAGCTGCTTTGGCAAATGTCTGGATCTGTAGGAAGAGACAGCAACTTTAAGGGTTTCTGGAAGCTCCTTTCTAGTGCCACCTCACCTCAGTTGGCCTGTATGGTTAAGCTTATTTCTTATTTCAGAACCACTGGCCAAATGTGTTTGCACACTAGAGAACTCTCACACAAGGAGGCGGTGAGCACACCTGCCCGGAGTGGTGGGCAGCCCTATCCATGGTGCCCGGGGAGCAGTTGAGGGGCTTCAAGGGCTCAAGGGCACTTTAGTCATGTTCTGTTGGCACAGCCACATCAATTCAGATGTTAACATATCCCCTCCCTGTGTCTCTCTTTCCCATACCCTACTATGTGGCTGTTTCAAATGACTTTCAAAGCTTGTGTGTAATGATTTATTTTATTTAACTTTTTAAAACATAACCTTTTTGTGCAAAGACCTTAACGTTGCCAAAGTCACAATTTAGCTTAAAGAATGGCCAATAAATAGTGTAGAATCTTGAATATTTCTTCATTTTAATAAACTTTTTTTTTACTTTTTATTTCCGGGTTTAAATAAAAACATACTCAGATTTTCAATGTGGTCTCAGAGTTTTGGACCACACATACACTGCTTACATGTCTGTGTGGCCTTAGTTGGACCTATATTTCTGGCCTGAATAATGGTCCCAGTCCAACCCTGCCTCTACTCAATAGAACAGTTGTAGGAAGAACAGATTTTTATCACCCGCAAATCATGCAGGGTTCTTTAGGGAATCAAAAGTAGGCCTATTATGGCATTGCTCAAAGAATCCTTTGTGGCACTTTTTAAGAGTGTGATTAAAAACATGGTCCACATTTAAATGCACCATCTTATTAGAAAAAAAGCCTGGAAACTCCCCTTATTAATTTAACAATGAAGACAGGATGGTTGCCTCTGCTGACCTTTTCCAAACTCCACACTTGCAGTTTGTGGTTTTGGCAAAGTGCATACTTATGTAACATATAATTTTGAATTTTGCAAAAGTGCTTATTAAGACCACAAATCCTCTTAAAAATGCAAATGAACACATATGAGTAATATCTTTGTGGGATGGTTAGTCTTAGATTCATTGTATACAGATGGTTTTGCACATTTAAGAAATAGGACACACTGGAAAACACATAATGTGCACACAAATACTGTGGACTTTAGGACAAGAGATTGTGTATTTATGGGACGGCTAGTCACAAAAGGTCTTAGATAGTTAATTTGTTAGCAAAAGTAAGCAATCCAGATCAGAACATGCAGAAAAATCCAAATCCAGGTTCAAATCTCTTTTTAGATATTTTTATTTATTTTCAACAAACATAAAGAAGTTTTTTTTTTTTTTTCCATTTTCAGCATGACATAGTCGATGACATATTTTCCAATCATGATGTGTTGTGTCAAAGGTCCATACTGGTCCACCTTTAAATGGGGTGATAAACCATTTTCCAAATGAACCAACTGAAAACTTTGTTATACTCTTAATTTAACAAAGAAGGGAAGATTATTTTTTGCAAAATGTTCTGGTAAGTGCTGTCATTCAAATTCTCCTCTATAAACACCAGCCTATTCAGGTGCCCCAAATTCCACCCCACCATGCACCTATCTTGGATGCACTCCAATATTTATGGAGAGGAATTTAAATGCCAACCTGAATATGCTATCACCTGAATATGCTAGAGGAGATTATCAAAAGTTTAGAAACTTTTTCCAACAAGATGGTGCACTATCCTTGAACCTTAAACTTGTGTGTTCAGTGTGACTGAGAAAAACCTCAGATTGTTGCTGAGGTTAACAACATATCAAGAACATTTAGTTTCAATGCACTAATATGAATGCATGATTATGATGGCTTATTTTGTAGTGAAGCCGAGGGTCGAACTCACATCAGAACAGCAGGGCAGTGCTGGTCATCCATCCATGTTGATGTGCAGTGCGTATGACTTCTACCCCCCAGCCATTGATGTGTACTGGCTGAAAAATGGTAAAAAAGTGACCGGTGATGTGACCGCCACTGAGGAGATGGCTGATGGAGACTGGTACTACCAGATCCACTCCCACCTGGAGTACACGCCCGCATCTGGAGAGAAGATCTCCTGTGTGGTGGAGCACGTCAGCTCTAAGGAGCCCATCATCAATGACTGGGGTGAGAATAAAGAGTCAGATTATTACAGACCTTTAAAACCTATTTGCACTGAGCCGCTTCATACTTCTTGTGTAATCAGATAGCAATATATCACAAATGTTTTTTGGTAGCATTTACACTTGATGATTTCAAGATTAAATCTGATCACTCAGACATTTCAGGAGCAGGTTAAAGACACATGGCAGATGTTTCACTATTCCTTCTAGCTTTTATTAAATGCTTCATTGCACAGAACAAAATATCAGCCATGAGGTTATTCCAGGAGATTCCAGAAGAGAATTCTCTTGATTTTCATGTAACATGGAAAGAGCAACAGTAATGCAACTCAATTTTATCTCTGTAACATAGATGTACATGGGAAAGTGTAAACACACACACATTTTCTAAACCGCTTATCCTTCTGGGTCGCTGGGGGAGAGTGGTGCTGGAGCCTATCCTAGCGGTCATTGGGAGGAAGGAGGGATAAACCTTGGACAGGTGGCAAGTGTAAATTGAATGTTGAACAATCATGTCTGGAAATCATATAGAAATATATATAAGATGAAATGACTATGCAATTAAATGTCAATTATGAGTAAGCAAGATTCAAAATCAAATTACCATAAAGCTATGAAACTAGTTCCATGTTCCTGACGATAATAAAATGTTTTAATTTCCTCAAAGCTTCTTAACATTAAAATCAATATTAAATATTTGTGTTTACACAGATGGTTCTCTTCCTGAGTCTGAGAAGAACAAGATTGCCATTGGAGCTTCAGGGCTGGTGTTGGGGATCATCCTGTCAGCTGCTGGATTCATCTACTACAAGAAGAAATCCTCAGGTCAGTTCAGATAAGAGTGACTAGTAATGAGTTATCTGGAGTACTGATGTATTAATCTGATTTACCATAACAATTATTCATGTGTTTTACAGGGCGGATCCTGGTGCCGAGTTAAATGCTGGTAAACTTAATGATATGTTTGTCCTTTTGTTTGAAATTTATGAGCTGATTTTCTACTTATACTTGAGTAAAGCTCACTTCTGTTAAAAAAGTGAAGTATTCAGCTCTTACACATATATCTGAATTCTTACAGGTTCCCATGTTAATGTTGAGGACTCATCTTTAATCTCAGGTGCAGAAGCAGAGGAGTCTCAAACAAATTTTATCATCTGCATTCTTTTCATAGAATACAATTTAAACAGATGTTTTAATTCTGAGAGTCTTTACCAAAAACAAATGTCTTTTTCTGCACATGCAGGCATAAACTTGATCATTTTCTTTTATGAGTTTTTATGTATGATTAATGTTGAGGGGCAAGAAGCTTATAAAAATATTCTGTATTGCATTTATGTGAGGTAATTTATTGTTTTTGAGGCTGATTATATGATATCACATAGGCCTACCACAGACTTCGTAATAAGACCATTTGTAGATCACACCTATTTAAAACTTAATGATTTGATATGAATGAAGATTTACAAGAACTACATTTCCTGTTGGCATGGACAAATCTGGCTTTGTCTAACTAAAGGGCTCTAATTATTGAAATTGTGCATACCTTTCTTTCCTTAATTAGTCTACTGCTTATCACTGTCATTGCATTTTAACAAACTAGCATCAAAGACACAAACTTCTATTACCAGACAAATATCTGTTATCACCAGTAGCTAAATGTGTAATATTGTAAAGTTGAATTGGCTCTTGATTTTGTATGTATTTGATTGCTCTTAATAAACATTTCTTAACAATACATTTTCCAATATTTTCTCAACAATATTTTTCAGATTTGACCTATTTCCCAGCATTTCAATAAGGTGAAAAAATGACTGAAAATGATTCACTGTAATTGAGGTACAGTGTGTGCATATTCAGATGTACATGAACCTCTTAAACACTTAGTGGCCTGTATGTGGGCCCACACTTTAGTTTGTCACTGCCATAATGTTTCATGTTACATTACTACATAACCAAGGAGTATGCTTTGATCCTTCCTGGAGTTAATGTAACGGTATTCCTGTTCTGATATTCGCTGACTTGTAGAAGCTGTGGAAGTGGTTAAGTCACAGCAGGGACTTTTCTGAAGTGCCCTTTTTGTTGGTATTGTTTCATTTGATTCTGAAATATAAGTGAAAATGCCAGCCTAAACTGGTTTCTAATGCAGGCTAGTTGAGCTACATCTCGCATACTTTGTTAGCCCCCTTTTACCCTGTTGTTCAGTGGTCAGGACCCCCATGGACCCTCACAGAGCAGGTACAATTTGGGTGGTGGATCGTTCTCAGCACTGCAGTAACACTGATGTGGTGGTGGTGTGTTAGTGTGTGTTGCGCTGGTCTGAGTGGATCAGACACAGCAGTGCTGCTGGAGTTTTTAAACACCTCAGTGTCACTGCTGGACTGAGAATCGTCCACCAACCAAAAATATCCAGCCAACAGCGTCCTGTGGGCAGCGTCCTGTGACCACTGTAATTGTAGAACTACAAAGTGCACCTATATAGTAAGTGGAGCTGATTCAATGGACAATGAGCGTAGAAACAAGGAGGTCATAATGTTATGCCTGATCGGTGTACATTTTAAAACAAATCTTTATATCAAAACTCTCATAATACAACGCACCGGGCAGGGGCGATTCTAGGATCAGAGCTTGAGACCAGCCCCCCCACAACTCTCTACTTTCTAACCCTCTGGGGAGAGCGGGATAGGGAAGGATAGGAGAGAGAAAGTGGATCATATCATTTACTTATCAGAGACAAACTTCTGTTTCTAAGGAAAACAACAAAAAAATGACATTTTACTCTTATTTTTAGGGTGCTAGGACTCCATTTAAAAAGAACACTGCCCTACACTAAAGTGTTACTGTTTGGCTTATTGCAAACAGAAATAAGAAATTTTTTGTTGTAAAGATACTGGAGACCACTGTGGAATTTTTTTTTTTACAGTGTACACATGACTGTGGAATTTTGGCCCTCTCCTCTTTTACAGAATTGAATCTTACAGAATTCATGGTTCTGTCAAAAACTTTGAAGCAGCAAATCATCCCAACATCGTCAAACTACCACCACCATTTTTCACTGTTGGTATAATGTTCTTATTGTGGAATACTATGTTTGCTTTACCCCGGCTGTAACTGGACTCTTTTGTTCCAAAAAGTTCAATTTTTGACTGATCAGTACAGAGCATTAGTTCAAAAGGCTTGGGGATCAGTCTCCTTTTAGCAGAGATTGATCCCCAAGTCTCTTTCTAATGGTGGAGTCATGAACACTGGCCTTTTTTGAGGTGAACGAAGCCCTTAGATGTTTGTCTGGGTTCTTTCGTGACTATATCACTGTCCCAAGCTTTCTGCATTTGGAGATGATGGCTCTCACTGTATTTCGCTGGAGTCCCAGAGCCTCAGAAATGGCTTTGTAACACTTTTCAGATTTATATATTTCAATAGATAATCAATACTTTCTCATCTTTTCTGGAAAAGAATAATGTATTGCTTATTCACATTACTGGAAAAGTTCTATTGAAGTGTTATCTAGATTCAGCAGGGCTGGCAGTAATCAAGCTTGCATGTGTCTAGTTTAATTGATCCCAGTTTTCAACAGAATTTGGTTAATCGGTTGATTGAGAAAGTAAGAATGCAGTTGGTGTTGGATAACCTTTCTTCTTCCATAAATGAAATGATCATTTACAAATGTTTTTTGTTTAGGGTTCTCCATATACAAGATAAATATAAACAGAGATATGTACTTTATATATAACCATCAGGACTTTTTCCCAAACTCGTTTAACCTAATCATGTCCAGCTTACCAGAAACACTTCTAAAGTGGTAGGCATACAAAGAAAGGACAGTGTTGATCAATTAATGGTCACTAAACATTTCAAATATAATCTACAGAGCAAATAAAAGTATCATAATTAATTACAGATGTGCCCCTTTTCACACTTTTTACATGATTATAAGAACAAATCAATTCATTTAGCATTGCATATATATTTAGTTGTTTAGGGAACAACTAAATATATATGTAATTTCACTAACAGTGGGTGTAATGTCAAAAACATCACTATTTAAAGATTCCTTCAGTCATCAAATATGCAGGGTAGACTTTACAAAGCCAAGCAGGTTAGGACCTGTGCTCAAGCTTTGCGGTTGAACTTTCAAAATAAAATCTCCCCAGACACTAATAATGCAGCTCTACTGCTGTTCTATCATTGGTTCACTTGGAAGCGAAAGTAGTTTAGGCTCAGCAGGGACTTTTCCAGGCTGGTTTGATCACCTCGTGGTTGTGGTGTCATTTGGTTCAGGCTAACTCTCCAAAACTAGAACCAAAACAGCGTCGCATTTTGTTCGTTAGCTGCAGCCGTCAATCACAGCAGTTCTGAAAGTTTGAAGCTTCCATTTTTGATGACCACAGAAAGAAGTGAAATATATAAACAATATTCCACACTGAAATCAATCTTATTTTTCATTCTGGTTTATAGAAGTATATCATTGTGTTGTTAATGTAAAGCACACTTCACACCAAGACATTGACAAAGAGTTGCATAATAGGAGAGCATTTAGCTGCTGCTGGCAATCCTGGTGCTACATAAGCATACTCCATAAATGACTGGACACTGCTCTGATCACCTGATTGTTGTGGTGTCATTTGGCTCTCCAAAACTAGAACCAATTTAATAGTGTGGCATAATAATCAGATTTAATAGTGTGGCATAATAATCAAATGTAATAGTGCGGCATAATAATCTTTCTCACTTTGTGTTTTAGTGTAATACATCAAAGATTGCATGACCTCAGGTTCTGTCAAGTGGTTATTGATTGGCTAAATAAAACATTCATTAATAGAATTGAGAACATATTTTCTATTACAGTACAATGGCATAAAGTGCATATATAGGTTTGAAGCTTAAAATGTTCAAAATGATGAAATCAAGATCCTTAAAAAGACAGCAACAATTAAAGAAAGTTAATTTTTACATTCAAAAATATATAAAATATATAAATCTCAACAGCCCTATGTAACGTAAATACCACAGGCGTAACCAGCGGTGACACTAGAACTTTTTGACAGGGGTGCTGAAACATTTGAAGGGGTGTAGGAGGTGACCAGTCACTAACCCATACTGACCCACACTAGAAGATTCAGTATGAAGTTTACAATATTCAAGGGCCCATCCAAGGCTTACTGTCACTTGTGTTTCATCGACTAGTCTTCAACTCTGCATGTACTTTTGCTCTTCACAACTAAATGTCTGCATTTTATCAATGCACAAAGCAGTCACAACAGTGGTGTAGGCAGAAATAGGTTGTTGGGCAGGCCTGTGAAAAAGTGGTTAGCTCAACTTGGTAGATACAATTTCCGAAGGTGCTACGTCCCCCTATGTCATAATATCAGACCATAGCCTGTTGCTTACAAGCAGCACAGCCATCACCCATCACATGGATGGGTAGAAACTGACATACTGGGATGGGATCTCACTTTTACACATCCTCCTGGTACATCTTTTGACCACAGCTGGAGCTACAAGTTCTGGTGTTCAGATAACAGCTTGAGGCAATGGTAGAATGATAGAATCGGTTGCTAAGCAGTGATTGGAGGGCTGAGAAAATTACTGTGAATGAAATTTGATGTTTACAGACTCAAATTGGGAACAGTCGGTACGTTTGCTGTTTAGTTCTGACCTTTTGTGTTGTTTTTTGGAAAGAACAAGAAGTGATTCATGTTTAAATGACTTACCAAAAATCTATGTTAATCTTGCAATAACATTGTCTACATTTAGCCACTGACTGAAGATCAGCCTTTTAGGGTGTCAGGTAATGCGTTAAATAAAGAGTAGCTAGTTAACAGGCAGCCTAATGAAAACTTGGTAGCCAGCTATATTGCTCGTAATTTGCCACAAATCTGTGTTGTAGGTGGGTATCTTCACTCTGAAACTACTTACTTGTTTGACTTTGAATATTATATCAGGTAAATAAGATTTATTTAAACTTTTAGTCAAGAGCCTGTCACAACTGCAGTGGTCACCGATTAACATTACTTTGCAGAGAAAAGACCCTGAGGTCTTATACGATTGGCTTGTAGATCACAAGTTCTCATAAGATTGGCCAATATATTTTTCCTAAAGTCGAACATAAAGTCGAACATAAAGTCACATTATGTCATGTTTGCAAATTTCCAATGGCACAGCCAGAGAGCATTCGTAAAAAGAGAGCCACCATGAAAACATGTTTCCTGGAATGCACTCACATAGTTTTGGCAAGAGGTAGGGAGACAACAAAGACTCCTGTAGCATGCCGTGTGCTACCCCGGGCACAGGAAGGACACCACTGGGCTCAAACACAAGGCATATTCTAGAGGCCTTGCTGCAGAACAGGAGGCAGGGCCTGAGAGGCGGAATCCAGGACTAGTGCACTTCCTTCATGCCTCTCGTGGCTGTCGTTGTTCTCTTGCTCTCTCTCGTGGCTGACGTCCCCCTCCTGCTGTCACTCTTGGCCTTTATTGGCATGTGAGGCTTGGACACCACCTTCCCACCCTATTTTGTGGCCATTCACCACTCCCTAGTGGATCTTCTCCTGTCCCTCGTGGGGTTTCGTCTACACTCAGGGCCTGCCAGCCGTCATCAGGGCCCCGGGGACAGGCGCATGGCTCCCATTAAAGTTCAAATGTGAAGTCCCAAGTCCCCAGCTAAACTTTTCTAAACATTTCACTAAACTTTAGTGATTGTTTTTCCCCCTTATCTTTTGCATAAAACTTGTGGCCATTTTT